GTGCACATTATTTTTATCAGCTCTTTTTAGGAAATGTGATGGTGTAGCCATTGATGGTGGTTGTCTTCCCAGGGTTGATATTGCTGGAAGTTAGGTTCCCTGTACAGCATAGCTGGGTGTTGAAGAGAAGGACCCTAGTGGGAGTTGGTTGGGTTGCTGGGGATAGCTGGAGCTATCAGACTCAGAGCTACTTCTTGTGAGTCAGTTGTCATAGCAGCTACTCCAACTCTGACACTGGCTTCGTGGCTCACCATGTAATCTCTCATGCTTGCTCTGCTCTAGATGCTGCCATGCACCATGAGGAGACTTAGCCAACAGGGTATTCCCAGGGGTCAGTGCCATGTTGTTTGGACTTTTAGCTATCAAATCTGTGAGCTAATGAAACTGATGACTCTAAACTGACACATCCTATCACCTTATGGTAGCTAATCCTTCAATGTCTTGATTTAGGATTACTGAAAAGATGAATCTTTGAGGATGCCCTGAAGTTTTTACTGGAGAGGTTTAATTGAGTAGAAGAGGAGGCACATCCTCAGTGTGGGAAGGACTCTCAGGGGCTGATGCTCTAGACTGTATAAAATGAGTGAAGAGAAATTGCTCTGAGAATCAGTGTCCATTTCTTTTTCTGCTTCCTGACTGCAGGATCAACAACTTGATTAGTTGCTTTAGGCCCCTATAGTCATAGCTGCTGTGTCATGACGAGCCATAATACCTTAAACCATGGGATTCTTGTTCTTTACTTAAACTGAATTTATTTTTTGTTATAGTAGTGAGGAAAATAAAATATCCCAAGTCTACAGTTTATACTAAGATTAATCTTTAATATTGTATATCTTAAGGATTAGGACAAATGTATAATATAATTTACTATTATTATATCATTATATAATATTATAGGCAAAATATTTTCAGTACCTTAAAAATCTTTCTGGCCAAGCCATTCTTCTATCCTTCCTGTCTAGTTTTCTAAAAGGCTACTAACCTGCCTTCTTATGTCTCTACAAGTTCATATCCCCACATTGCATTCGTGAGAGTTTCTACTGGCCCTCACTAGCATTCCATGTTATCTGGATTTTACATTTGCATATGCCAGTTGTGTGTCAACTTTTGGCATTAAGTAGATCATGCCTTGGAGTTGCCCAGCTTCGACCCCAGCCCCTCCGTCTGTCTCTAGTATTTAATGTGAAGATTCAGTTCAAGTGTCACAAAAGAAAAGAAAAGGAAGAAATGAAACTAATGGAGGGAAAGAAAGTTTTGATCCTGCAGGGTTTGGAACAGAGAATTCACACAACATAGCACTGTTTGGGACAGAATATTAGCTCTGTATTCTACTGAAACATTCATAATATAAAGGTGTGTAGAGCTCTGGCTTTTTGCTTTTCAGAGAAAGAGCAGAAAAGGAATAAGATGGTGTGTGGAGAACAGAAGGAAGACAAGGGAGGCGAGACAAAAGGAACCCGGGGTGGGACCTGGTCTAGACAGAGATTTGGCCCGTTTCCTCCTTAGGAGCACTATCTCTGCTTGGAATGGGAAGGTGGGGAAGCACAGAAAATATAGACCCTACTTCTCTTTCTTTTGTGTCTCTCAATTACATTATTTTTCTTATCAGTTTAGTGCTGAATTATATCCAACATTCACACAAATGTACATTGATTAATTGGGACAAGGCTGTGATGACAAGGCAGAGGGCACATCCTTCACCAAATTCCAAAGGTTAAGACTGAAAAGTGTTGAGGAGATTAGCTGAAAGTAAGTACCTTATCTCAAACCACTTGACCTTTCATTGGTCAGTCCCTTTTCTAATGTGTATCAAGGGGTGAAATGCTCATTACAAATGACAGTGTTGCTCTTTGTAGACTGGTGTTCAAGATGCTAGAGAAGTATGTCAACAGTGGGAAATGCATGCTTTGAAGCTTGGACAACAACTTGCCTCCTTTCAGGGTCTGCAGTCAGTGTAGCATTTATGTCTACAGAGCTATAAATGTGGTGGAATGATTTCAACATCCAAATTGCAATAAAAACCATTGTTAGAGATTGGATATACATTGTATTCAAAATAACCTTTTGATGAAACTTTGTGATACTGCTTCATCAATATTTGAATAGGTCATTTCATGATTAGGACAAAGCAATTTTTAGACTATATAAAATTGTAAGACTTATATGATGAGTAGCTTTAAATTTATAAATGAGTAGGTTTAAAAATTATTTTTTAGTCTATTAGTAACTTATTATGAGAAAAGCTCTCACACACATACATACAAATGTCACAATCTACTGTTTGTTTAAAGGAGTATTTACAATGACATATACAATACACCCAGCTTCAAATTATAACAAGATTCTTTTTCTGGCTTCTTTTGCAAATTCAACTTAAAATTGAGATAAATATCACTTAGAGTCATTAGCTGTTGAGATTTTTCAATGCTTTTAAAAGGAAAGAGCAAAGTCTTCTAAAATGACTATGACATGCTTAAGTAAATATTTCCTCCAGAGTTTCCCTGTATAATTTAACTTGAGAAGATATGGGTAAACACAGACCTGCTGCAATACTTTAGCGAGTAATTTACTATTTCCTCTGATTCGGAAAGCCCTTTAAAACATACAAAATCTGCTGCAATTTCCTATAACACCACTTTTTCTGAAGGCTTTACAGCTTGGATAACCAATAGTGCTCACAAATCTGTTAATCAGTGGGCTCAGAAAGGGGTGAAAACACACGTATCTGTGGCTTTCCATCTTCAGTCTATCCGACCTTTGCTTCACTGACCCCCAAATGACTTCACAACTGAGTTTACAGATCCAGAGCTGTTTCTGAGAACAGGATTCCAACTCTAGTAAAAGTGTGTGTGTTTAAGTCAAGATTTACTCTGTATTAAGAGCTTTAAGTCTAACCTAGAAAAATGATAAGCAGGGTTATCGTACCCTAGAAGGCAGCTCAGTTCAATATTCTAGATTTATTCATGAAAGACCTCTGCTGTCACCACTCAAACTGAATAAAATGAAAACTGTGGTAACTAGATACACACACAGTGTTAATGTGACCTACAGCAAAGCTCTGGGTAGTTAAAGTGGCTACCATATGGCCGCAGTGTCAATTTGGAAAATCCCCAGAGAAACAGCTGCATTTGGATGTATAACTTCTGTTGCCTGTATAAGAAACCCTAGAATTTCAGAGTGTGCTGGGATGAGGACAAAGCTGGTAAAAATGACATGCACATCTCATTGAGTGATATCGTGACAGTGACACCTATAGAAATTACATATGCATATGACAAACCCATATGAACTCCAAGGATCCCAGCATTCATTTCCTCTACTAGACAACTCAGAGGACTCCACTACATTTCCTGATTACCTGTGAATATGTCCACTTATGGCACTTGGTAGCAATTGGCTGAGGCAAACCCGGCAGAATGGTTTCCAGTTGCTGCATGATTAACTTCTGTACGTCCTCCTTACTGTGATCCATATGTTTAAGTCCAAATGGGACACTGGTTTGGACCACCAGAGATGGACCAAATTCCGATGACTCTGCAGTGTGAGAGGAACAGGAAGATAAATCCTAAAGTGGGGAAACCAAGAACACAGCCTAGAGTTGGAAACCAAAGTAGAAAGTGATCGTAACAGTCAGGCAGTAATGGAGGCAAAACAGAGTCCTGTGTCTGCAGCATAGTTTAGGCTGTTTCTGAACCAGCTTCAGCTCTCCTGGGGAGGAAGGAGGCTGACGCTGTACATTAGAACACATCAGTTCTTGATAAGGAACTAGAAGAGACAACAAGCACCCTTAACACCTATTAACCTGGGTCCAGCTAAATTTATTAGTGAGTTGTTTTCTCTTATTAGTAAATTGTAAACCTTTTATATATTATATTACAAATACTCTATTTTCTTAAGTTCTAAGAATGAAATAGATGTTCAGAAAGATATTTATGTTAGGAAGATTGCCAAACATTTTACTAAATTTTTAACAATTCTACATTATATTTAACACCTTGAAAAATAAATTATCTCTTTGAAATCAGAGTATCCCTCCTAATATTATTCCTTGTATCCTTTGTGTGCATGTGAGACAAGGTCCTGTTATGTAGCCCAAGCTGGCTTTAAACTTGAGATCAGTACCACTGTTCTTCTTCATCTATCAGTAAAAACATAGGCAGGAGTCTGTTCCATCTATAACTCCCCATTTTTATTTGTCATTCAATTTACTTTGCTGACTTTTATGATTATCAAAACTGAGTGCTTGGCTGACTCTTTCATTACTTAGGAGAACACAAGGTAGCCCATAGAGCATGAGATTAAAGGCATTTAGGCATCTACGGCATTGGAAAATAAAATCTGTGAAAGAATATTAACTTGAGTTTGTTTAAATAATATTGAGGAGAAAGCTGGGAAGGATATATTAATGTATGTAGTAAGGCACTGATGGGTTGGCAACTTGATTCTAAAATGTCTCTAATTTTGTATTATAAAATGCCATACTATTTGAGGTATATTGATTAAATTTTAGAACCAAAAATAAAATACTGAATGTCATAAGCTTGTAATAAGCTTGTACCCACCTAGGTTGATAACATAGCTCAAACAACATATCAAGTAGATGCTTTGTAAAAATAATACTCAGGAGAGAGAGAAGAAATCAGCTAACTCGGAGCAACATTCCCAGGTGTTGCTCAAATTATCCCCATGAGTTATTTTTAATAAAAGTATTTCCCTTCCCCATTTCACTCAGCCCACAGAGCCATGGCTTATGAATTTCAAAAATAAATACAAGGAAATAGGCTCAAAATGCTACAAGTCTTCGAAAACAGTCAGTGCTCCACATGACCTCATCTGTTGGGATATGAATGGGAACACTGCACTGGAAGTGCCACGGTGAATCATGGCTGTCCACTGCCCAGCTCACTGTAACTGTCCACCTTACTATGCAGCAGAGAAGATGTCCTTGGGAAGGCCCAGTCTTTCTCCTGTGCAAGCACACCTCACTGGCACTGCACAGAGGGAAAGAAAGGCTCATCAGTGCAAACATACACGTTATTTCAGAGAATGCTCCCACGGTGAGGAGTCCTTTGCATCATCCACCACAGCAGTGTGGTCCTTTAAAAGATGAAAGCTACCTGCTTACCTATAGTCAGTTTTCATTGCTTCCTGCTGCAGATGCAACATGGCCAGGGGCTTAAACTTCTGCTGCCAAAACACTTCAACCATGACGGACTGTACACCGAACTATGAGTAAAGATATCTCCTTCCTTCCTTATGTTCATTTGCTACTTTTATCAGAGCAACAGGAAACATACTTAAGACAGCAGGCACGATTTGCACGTCAGTTAACACATTTATTATGTATCAGTTAAAAAGTTCACGAAGTTTGTTCACACTGAAGGAGTGCAAAGCCATCTTCCATTTGTGAGGTGCCAAATCTTCTAGAGACAGAAAGCTACCTCATCAGTGAAGCAGGAAAACAGAGCTTGGCTTGCCATCACTGGCAGGCTTTAAAGGGACATAAAGGCTAGCTATGTTCTGAGCATCAACAGGTACGCATTTCCAGTCACCAAGACTAGTAATGGTGCATGACAAGTTTTCCCACTTACAATAGCTGTCTTCTCCTAGGAGAGCAATACAAAAGGAAATCTTAAGACTCAAACTGAAATGGTTCTTGTGTAATAATGGGAGAACAGAGAAAAACCTGATTACTTTTTATCCTTGGAATTGAACACATTTGAGAATTTATATTAACATTTAGACTAAAGAAGAAGTTTAAAAGAACATGACTTCAACTCCCAAACTAAAAGACACTTTTAAAAGCTAAAATGACACACACACACACACACACACACACACACACACACACACACACACACACAGAGAGAGAGAGAGAGAGAGAGAGAGAGAGAGAGAGAGAGAGATTAAATACAATTAAGATTTGGAAAACACAAATTTACAAAAAGCCACAAATATGTTACTAGGATTTTGGTCAAAACGGGAGACAAGAGATGGCGTTGGAGAAAAAAGACAAAATATCTTGTTTTCTTTCATATACACCTTGTAGGCATGGGTAGACACATATATATGTATGTTACTAGAAAGCATAAATGGGACCTTATTGGGGTAAGGCATGGATCTAGCAAGAATGGAGGAGAAAAACAGGGAAAGGCAATGTCAGGGCCAGCAAAAGCTATGCAGCGATATGTATATGTATATATGCCACTATCATGACGGAGCCTTTGCTTTGCATACTACCTCAAGAGCTAATAAAGAAAGCAAAGTTTGAACTAAACTGTGTTGAGAAAATGTGGTTTACATGATGCATCAAAATCTGTTAAATGGCTGCAGGTACAGTCTATTCTCTCAAATGTTTTTGAATCTAAGTTTTTAGAGGTTGAGTTAGCTTTTGTGTATATATTGTTTGTGCACATGTGCCCATACATGTACATGTGTTGCAGTCTTAGGTGTTGGTCTTCAGGTGTCGTCTATTCTTCTTTTCAGTTTGGTAGATCAAAGCTTTTCAATATCAATAGGTAATGCCAAGGATAATAGTAGGGAACTGAGAAAGGGAATAATTTTTGATAGAAAACATGGTTCTGCTTATAATTCTAACTGTTGAATTTTGCATAGAAGAAAAAGTTGTTTTGCAAAAGTGATAAAACCACATTTAGTTTTCCAGGAGTAGGCTAGCATGACAGAGGGTTGGATCAAGATGATCTTTGGGTTAAGTCTCTGAGTGCTTTTAATGGTACCTAAGAACATTTGTGTGTAAAAGTATTTCAGATTTCCTACTTTGAAAGATTTTAATTGAATGAAGATTAAGAGACTTGAGTTTCTGGATATTTATATAAACACAGGGGAAAAGACAGAGATCATTGCCAGCCAGGGAGGCAGCGAAAAAATTCTTTATATAATTTATGTCATGGGATTTCAAGGTTGCCATCTCAGCACAACTTAGCTATCCCAGGACAGCAGATTGCTGCCCTTGACACACAGTGGCACAATTCAAGTTGTAAATGCTCTGGAAAGGAAGCCTGGATCTGTTCAGCAAATTTCTATCAGAGTTGTAAGGATAGTAGCTACTGGCAGGTTGAAAGAAAATGATAGTCTTGCAGCCAGCTCACTGGAGTTTAGTGATCTAAGGCTATCTGTAAGCAGCTATTTCACCTTACAAGCAATATCCTTCCTCTTGATTTTTAGAAGCCCTGCCATCTATCAGATGATTGAAACTCCTATTGTTCTCATAAGCTCTGTATGTGCCAACTGCCTCCCACCTCTTATTGAAGAAAGGCTCTCTCATTGCCTTGGAACTTTGCCATATTGGGCTGGCTTGCTGGCCATAAGTTTACTGGGATTAAGTTTACTGGGATCTGGCTGTCTTCACCTCCCATCTTGTCAGTGGTGGGACTAAAGGTCCCAGCTTTTTAAGTGGGTCCTGGGCATCCCAAAGCCATCTCCTATGAATTATCATTTTACATTAGTACCTAATCATATAATTAATTTTAAGATTATCAACTAAATTCTGGCGACAGTTGACTGCTTGACCAATCAATGAGAGAAATGTCTGATGATACACTGGCAATTTCTCTTGTCATTTAAAATAATAATCTTTATTTTCTACTGATGTTGAATTACTACTTTCCTGATATTTGAACATTTTAATAACATATTTGAACCTTTTTATTATTATTATTATTGGATATTTTATTTACATTTCTGATGTTATCCCCTTACCCCATTTCCCCCCTCCCAGCCCAGGAACCACCTATCCCATCATCCCTCCTCCTGCTTCTATGAGGATATACCCCCACCTACCCCCCTACTCCCACCTCTCCACTCTCAAATTTCCCCCCACATGGCGTCCAGCCTTCATGGGACCAAGGATTTCCTCTCCCACCTATACCTGACAGGACCATCCTCCCTTGCATATACAGCTGGAGCCATGGGTCCCTCACTAAGTGCTTCCAGGCTTGTGGTTTAGACCCTGGGGGCTCTGGTTGGTTGGTATCGTTGCTCTCTTCATGGGGTCACAAATCCTTTCAGCTCCTTCAGTCTTCACTCCAACTCCTCCATTGGGAACTCCATGATCAGTTCAATGGTTAGCTGTGAGCATCTGCCTCTGAATATGTCAGACTCTTGCAGATTTTTAAGGAGACAGCTATGTCAGGCTCCTGTCAGCATGCACTTCCTGATATCCACATCAGTGTCTACCTTTGGTGACTGCACATGGAATGGAATGGTCTCCAGATGGCCCCTCCTTCAGTTTCTGTCCTACACTTTGTCTCCATATTTGCTCCCTTGAGTATTTTGTTATACCTTCTAAGAAGGACTGAAGCACCCACAGTTGGGCTTCCTTCTTCATGAGCTTCATGTGGTCTGTGAGTTGAATCTTGGATATTTCAAGCTTCTAGACTAAAATCCAATAATCAGTGAGTGAATACCATGTGTGTTCTTTTGTGATTGGGTTACCTCACTCAGGATGATATTTTCTAGTTCCATCCATTTACCTAAGAATTTCTCAAATTCATCGTTTTTAATAGCTGAGTAATACTCCATTGTGTAACTGTACCACATTTTTTGTATCCATTCCTCTGTTGAAGGACATCTGGGTTCTTTTCAGCTTCTGGCTATTATAAATAAGGCTGCTATGAACATAGTGGAGCATATGTCCTTGTTATATGTTAGAGCATCTTCTGGGTATATGCCCAGGAATGATATAGCTGGGTCCTCAGGTAATGATATGTTCAATTTTCTGAGGAACTGCCAGAATGATTTAAAGAGTGGTTACACCATCTTGCAATCCCACCAACAATGGAGGAGTGCTCCTCTTTCTCCACATCCTCGCCAGCATCTACTATCACTTGAGTTTTTGATCTTAGCCATTCTTACTGGTGTGAGGTCGAATCTCAGTGTTGTTTTCATTTGCATTTCCCTGATGGCTAAGGATGCTGAACATTTATTTAGGTGCTTCTCAGCCATTCCTGTTTCCTCACCCAGAACTTCTAACAGAGAACTCCTAAACCTGATAAACAACTTCAGCAAAGTGGCTGGTTATAAAATCAACTCAAACAAATCAGTAGCCTTCCTCTACATGAAAGATAAACAGGCTGAAAAAGAAATTAGGGAAATGACACCCTTCAAAATAGTCACAAATAATATAAAATACCTTGGTGTGAATCTAACCAAGCAAGTGAAAGATCTGTATAACAAGAACTTCAAGTCTCTGAAGAAAGAAATCAAAGATCTCTGAAAATGAAAATATCTCCCATGCTCATGGATTGGCAGGATTAATATAGTAAAAATGGCCAACTTGCCAAAAGCAATCTACAGATTTAATGCAATCCCCATTAAAATCCCAACTCAATTCTTCACAGAGTTAGAAAGAGAAATTCTCAAATTCATTTGGAATAAGAAAAAACAATAAAAAAACTTCTGGAGGAATCACCATCCTTGACCTCAAGCTATACTACAGAGCAATAGTGATAAAAACTGCATGGTATTGGTACAGAGACAGGCAGGAAGATCAATGGAATAGAATTGAAGACCCAGAAATGAACCCACACACCTATGGTCATTTGATCTTTGACAAAGGAGCTAAAACCATCCAGTGGAAAAAGGACAGCATTTTCAACAAATGGTGCTGGTTCAACTGGAGGACAACATGTAGAAGAATGCAAATTGATCCATTCTTATCTTCTTGCACAAAGCTGAAGTCCAAGTGGATAAAGGACCTCCACATAAAACCATATACACTGAAACTAATAGAAGAGAAGGTGGGGAAGACCCTCGAATACTTAGGCACAGGGGAAAAGTTCCTGAAAAGAATACCAATGGCTTATGTTCTAAGATCAAGAATTGACAAATGGGACTTCATAAAATTGCAAAGTTTCTGTAAGGCAAAGGACACTGTCAATAGGACAAAACAGCAACCAACAGATTGGGAAAAGATCTTTACCAATCCCACATCTGATAGAGGGCTAATATCCAATATATACAAAGAACTCAAGAAGTTAGACTCCAGACAACCAAATAACCCTATTAAAAATGGGGTATAGAGCTAAATATTTGAACCTTTTAAATATCTAGAATAGTTTGTGAGTTGAAATCTTAGTTTTACTTTGTATTTAATTGTTTTCAATGTTGGTTGATTTTT